CGGTCTGCTACTGAAGTTTGGAAAGGGTTAACTCTGGCCTCTGTCATTCAGCCATACCATCCCAGCTGTTGGCTTGGAGATCCAATCACAATCATTTTCCACTGTTGTAACATGTGAGCTGCACTGCAACCCGAAACTGACCCAGGGCAGCAAATGTTGGGACTTCTTTCATCTTGGCATTGTTGCTGCATGTTGGGTTAGGGGGTGTGAATGTTATAGTAAGACATGGGGTGGGAGGTGCAGTGAATTACACTGAAAATTATAGGCTTGTCTTGAATAGTCCATATGGTGCTCGAAGTACGTTAAAGTCCTGCCACTTGATGCAAGTACTTTTGAGGCCATTAACAAATTTAGAAAGTCACATGCTTTCTTTAGGGTACAAGATGGTCTACCCTGAAATTCACCTGTGTCAGGTTGGTGGGATTTGTGGACTTGCTCTGGTACAAAGAATCCCAAAACTATCCTGTATCCAGCTGCATTTACTACATAGGAAATAATTTCATCCCTGCAATAAAACAACAACAAATGACTTGCTTCTTGCTCTTGGCTAGTATTTTTCAGAGGTGATGGAAACTAACGGGTGGGAATGCTGCTTTTCTAACATTTCTACTGATCTCCATTAGTACCACATACAGGAAGGGAGTGAATCAGTTTGTTGTGAAGTTTTATTTTATTAATGGTCTGTAAAAAGAGCCATCAGTGTTTAGACGACAGTGGAAACACAGACAGCCAGCAGCCATAAGGAACCCAGTTTCTTGACAGAAATTCCTGGGATTAAAATATGTGCATCATTTGCTTGGAATGGCTATTGCTGAAATACAATGTCACCTTTTTTAATATATAAATTTATATATTGTTTGACAACACTATAGAGTCTTGCACTTTGAGTTTGGGGTGTGTGTTCATGTCTGTGTATTTTGCCAGAGTACATTGTGATTATAAAATCAGGATACTCAAGAATAAAAATGAAATGAAAATGAAAATGCCACATCAGGAATGAAGAACCTAAATCTCTGGACAGCACAAATCATGCAAAGGTGCATTTCCTTCTCACAATAGGGATTTCCACAATGTCTCCCACCTCGGCAGCACACCCGGCCTGGCAATTATACCGTGTAATAAATAATAAATTTGGTCCCGTTTTCCATGGCAGATGGCTTCAAATAGAGTCGACATGTGACAGAATAGTTTCCAAGAATCTCAATGGAATAAGCTTCAAGTATCCATTTGTGCACTGAGCAATAATAAAGGCTACATTTACCCAGTTTAGAGTTCAAACGCTTTCTTGAGTTTGACATTCATTTGGAGTTCCTGTTTGCTGTAAAGACAAATGAAAAGTTTCCTTTCAAATGTGATTTGTGTTACTGTTTGAAATGTAGAAAGTGAGAAAAAGCAAGTAAAGTATCCCCAGTGTTATTTCCAGACATGGCTTAATGTTCCCGTGTACCCCCACTGGTGCCTTTCCTAATGGATCAGATGGCTGGGTCCAGATTCCTTGTGCAATGCAAGATTAGTTTGACATGGCTTTTAGTATAGTAGTGATTTCATATAGAAACTGGGCCCATCTTGTTAAATCTCAGCCATAAATCCAGTTTTGTTCCTTCTGAAATGAAGAAATCAATGAAATCAAACCTTTCCTAAAACAGATGTACACTTGCTATGCTTCAGCCTCTGTAGTTTTATTAGGAGGTTGCTTTCTCATCCGAGCTTCTCCAAGACATATTCGTATCAACCTGGTCGACGTGAATGAGCCACATTGTGTTAGTCTGATTAACACTGAATGGACAGCAGCCTCTCATTAGAATGGACTCTCCCATGTAGAGCACCATGGAGGTCCCTCATGCGACAGATAGTCTTAATTAGATTAAACAAAAGGCTTTTCCTAGGGCAATCAGTCAGTTGGCCCTTGTACACTACGGCACCCCAGGAGTCACACAGCAGGGAAGCCAGGGGCTTTATGACTGTGATTTGTTTTTTGTTTGTTTTTTAATTTAATTGTGAGAGACTTTATGTTGAAATGGCAAGGGGACCGATGTAGTCTAGAATAAATGGGGGTGTTTAGTTGAAAAGATTTGACTGTAATGTTGTATTAGAAGCTCTTCATCAGGCAGACTGAACTTGAAGTCTAAAGTTATTTAAATTATACTTCTTTTAGTGTAGTAGTCATATTCAAGGGTAGCAGGTTCAGGTTCAAGTTACTTTATTTATACCCGTAGGTTGATTTGGTCTGCAGTAGTGAGTCATCCATCCTTGCACGCACATATTCAATACAAACAGAGACAACAGATAAGCGTAATACAAAACACTAAAGAAATTAATAAAAACATATTAATAATGAATTCACCTGGCATAGGATTGTAAAGCCATGGATTTGTTCATCTAAGTGAAAGCTGCTGCAGTGAAGCAGTTTTTAAACTGTGTTGTTCAACAGTTTGGGGCTAGAAACCTTTCTCTCAAACAGTGGCTCATAAGTTAGTTTGTCAGGTGGTCTGGCAATTTGTTTGAAAGAGTTTCTGTTCTTTACAGATAAATGTCTTAGACCTGACGCCAAGGACAAGAAGAAAATGAATTCAGTGAGAATATGATTAAATGAAATCATTATGGTTGTATCATTGTGGAGTTTAGGTTTTTGCACACTGCTTCAGTTTGCTTCAAAGTTTCGCTTTGAATCAATAATTGTTCTGAGATATTTCTATGATTAAGCACATTCCCTCACTCATAATGGACGTGATCTCTTGTGTATGAGTGCACTTTCTAAAATCGGTGATCATATATTTTGTTTTAGTTACATTTAATTGAAGACTCATTATACCTTTTAACAAAATCATCAAGTACTGGGCCGTAGCTGATCCCATTATCCTGGAGCTGACTAACAATAACAGAGTTATTCACATAGTTTAAAATGGTCCTGTTTTCATACCTTCTCTAACACACATTTGTGTGCAGGGTAAATAATGAGCGCAAGAGTGTGCATCCCTGTGGGTAGCCAGTTGAGGAGCAGACTTGATTGGATTTGATCCCATTTCTCCAGACTTTTTGAATCGTGTTAGTTAAAAAGTCAAGAATCCAGCCCAGAAGACTTTTTATTCAGGTCAAATTGTTCTCTTCTGATTAAAATATGAGGATTGGGCTGAAAGCTAAAAACTAGCACAAGGAAGTGTTTAACATTCAGGTTGAACAAGGTTATTGTGGCATATACTGCTCCTATCTGTGGCCTGTAAGCAAACTGCATGGGGTCAAGGACATGCCCAGTTTAACTTAAAATATCTATTTTCATGTGGATTTGTTTGTTTTAAGATTTTCATTATTAATTAAATATCTGGGAAAAGTAGATTTAGAAAACAGGACTAAAACATCATACATTAGGTCCATGCTGTGCCTGTAAAAACCTATTTTTTAAAAAAAGATTTATCAGGTCCATGAGACTTCTTACTCATATGAATCAGAAGGCCTGTTTCACATCACTCTCATCATGTTAAAGTGGTGTTTATGTTCAGGCTTACAACACAGTAGCAGGATTTCTGGTATTGCAAGCAAGATCTTATTATGTATTCACTTTGTCCTCATGTATGATTCTATGAGCCCAGGAATTCTTCCCTAAATGTTCACTTGGACTCAAGTATAGACTGATTAGAATGTGTTGATCAAAGGCTGTGTTGATTTTGATAAAATATTGAAGTAATCCCATTTTGTTTACAACAGGTCTCTGTGAAATCTTAATTTTACAAATTTGGCTGGAATGACTTTAAAGACAAGGGGCTTTATGCTCCTATTCCAAGAAGTAAAAAGTGTTACCTGATTTTTGTGCACTTATTTATTACAGCAGGGTGTAAGAGTTTGTACTGTTTTTGTATCCATTTTCTCTCATCTGTCCCTGGTTTTAGAGTATGTGTGTATGTGTTCACTGTGTCCTCTGCTCTCTGTAAAGAAGTTAAGATAACATTACTGAAGTCAAACGTAACCCAATAATTTACTGTAAGTGCAGTAAAAGCTTGCCAACAAGCGTTTCTGTATAAAATGACAGGGGAGAATGGGCTGACTACGCAGAGCATACCTTCAAGTGCAAAGCAATAAACTTAAGGTAAACACCTGGTTTAATTGCACTAATCTTTTTTTGCTCCAACTTGAAGCTATGGTCATTATAGAGAGATTTTCCGATGTGCTGGCTTCAAGATTTGATATGCACTTTGTAGTGTCTTTTCAACAACATTTGTATTTGACACAGTGACTTTATGTTTTTTCAGGGTCTGCTGTTTATTTATTAATACAGATAAGGTAGAAGACCAACAACAAAGCCTATTATTATTTATCATAATTTAAAAAATTGCCTTTCACAATCTGTACAGCAGGCAACATCCTTATTTATCAGATGAGGAACAGTTTATATTAATAGGAAAAACAGAAACTTGAAGAAATTTGAATTGTAACTAAAAAGCAGGTAGAAAATGGTCTTGTGGTTTATTGTGCTTGTCCATGAGGTCTGTTAGTTGGTTGAACTGTCATGCTCTGGCTTTAACATTGTTTAACATGGTTATTATTTTGTTATTGTTTGAATATGTTCTGTTTTTAATCACTTTATGCATCATTCAAGTCCAACTCATGCAAGAGGCAAGAAAAATGTGTAAAAGCGTGCTGAAGCTCTGTTAACAGTAGATAACCAGTACATAATGCTCAAGAAGCTTTAACCAAGAAAAAGGGTGCTCATTACTAGTCAAGAGTTTTATCTTGATGGCAAAATTATTTTATTGCAACTTAAGTAAAACTAATCAGAATCTCTTGCCAATTGATTAGAGGCAGTTCTGCTAATAATGTAGCTACTTGTCTCAGCTGCCTCCAGCTTGGTAGGTTATATACTGAAAATGAAATGTTTTCCTGGCCAGATATTAATTAGCATAAGCGCTATGTCAGTAAATGAATTTTAACCCCCCTCTTCATGTAATGGCCCATTTTGGTGTGAATATTGACAAATTTCTTTTTGTGTGTTTGCTCTTCTCTTCCAGATCTGGATGCATGGTGATCTCTGGCTCTGTGGGTGATCCTCAGTCACCATGAAAGAATAGGAACTCAGCTCTCCCAGGGAAATGGCTTGTTTCATAATATCCCTTCTACCTGGCATATGACTCCAGCTGCCTGTGAAGGGCCTGTTGGCTGTTTATGGGAACTGTCACTGTGTTCACACTCTTGAGGATTTAAGAATTTCCAGGACAGCCCTTTTTTTTGGGTCTTTTTTAAACCCCTGCTGTCAAGTCAAAGCAGCAACACTTTGCAATAGACTGGGGAGGCAGTAAGAAGATGGCGAACAACTCGTACAGTGGGGTGAAGAACTCCATAGTGGAGGCCAACCATGATGGAGAGTTTGGCTGCACACTAAAAGAACTACGTGGGTTAATGGAACTGAGGAGCGCTGAGGCAGTAACCAAAATTGCGGAATATTATGGGGATATTCAAGGACTCTGCAACCGGTTAAAAACATCACCAATAGATGGTATAGTAACACTTTTACTCAACATGATTTGAGTTTGATCATTTACAGCATGACAGTTTTAGTTTTGGGAATGACAATGTGGTGCACACATAGTTTAGGAGGTGTGTCATCCACATTATTGATTGCCTTGACATGACTTCCTTGGAAGCTTTCACAAACCAGACAGGTGGCCAGGCAGACTGGCTCTGACCTGGGCCAGTCCTGCTCTATTTCAAGGCCTGTGGATATGTCCCACACACCCTCCTTTTCTCCCTTTTCACCTCTCTGACTATGTGTGTAGGTTTCAGACAGACCAGCTGTTTGCTTGGGCACAGTACCAGTCTGCAGGCAGGTAAATGTCCCACATGTGGAGGACAAAACAGGACTCTGTAAGGCTCGGTAGTAAAGCAGTGAATTTCTCTTTTGTGACTGTCTTCTTCAATATTAAATTCATAAGCTATTAATTAGAAGAATTGGGGAAAAAATTCCATTTAGGGTATAGTGAAACCCAAGTAGGTTGCTTTTGATGGCGCCTATCTTTTCTTTCTTTTTTTCCCGTGCTACTTCTGTCTGTTTCCCTTTATAGACAGTCTGCCTAATCACCAGTATGACCTTGACTGAACTCTTTATTTGTGGGGATTTTCAGTTTGATCCCAGATTAAAATGGCACCACATATTCACTGTAACAGTCCTTTGTATGCAGTCACTCGGTGCAAGGTAAAAGTCTCCTGAGCTTCAGTAAACCAAAAGAATGGTAAATACAAGCATTTACAAAACTGCAAAGCAACTGTTATTTGAGCAAGTACCATTAACTTACTTTAATCCTTAAACTTTCTTTTTTTTTTCTTTTGGATAATACTGCGCATGCCATTTGTGCACGGTGCAGTTTGTCTAACTCCCTTTAGATTTACTAAAAGCAATGGGCCATTGTCTAAACTATAATGAAAAATTGCTGAATAGGAATTTAGCTGCTGAGGGAGCACAAGTTGTCTAAACATGCATGTGGCTGTGTAATGTTGGTGAATATGGAGTCCTGTCATATTTTCAGCATGAGTGACATTGGTTGTTGTGTAAATTGTCCTCCCCCTCTGCTCAGCTGAGTGTATGCTGTAAAAAAGAGAGAATGTGGTTAGTTGAGGCCCCTTAGCTTTGCATTTTTCCTTATAAATCACAAAGAAGTCCTATCACTATATTGATTTGTATATTAATAAATGAACAGATAAGTTAGCTGAATATTAGGGACATGTTTACATTATTAAGCCTTCATTTCAGATCCTTTTTTTTTTTCTTTTGTTTTGCCTTCATTGGTGTCTAGCATATCAACGGTCTTGTTTTTAAAATGCTTTTAAGATTTTCAGACTGAAAGCAAGTTACTTGTTTTCAGTCTGAAAACGATTGGGCTAAAGTGGCAGGGTTTTTTTTTTGGTTTTTAGTTATTTATTTTTTTAAACAAGACTGTACTGATGAGCTTGACTACATCCACATTCCACTTGGTATACACCCACTGTTTCAATCAGCACATTTGTCCCTGGCTTTGGAAATTGAGCCATCATTTAAGATTACAGGATCCTGACAATTGAAAAGGGATTTCTAATTAGTTGGGTGGGCATTATTTGAACCTCTGAACCCAATCCTCTGCTAATCCTCCACTTCCCAAGCTCTTTTCATCCAAAGAAGTTTGAGTAAATGTAGCTGTTAGGAATGTGCACTAATGTCTTGCTCTGCTTTAACTAGTTTGCATAATCTAAGACTTTAAAGCCAGCTCCATTTGCATGAGGCTAAATGTAATTTATCGTGGCAGTACGACTGCTATTTTTCATGTCTGTACATAAGTCTTAATAGACCACCAGAGAGCTCCCTATTCAGTTGGATTTCAATTCACTGATTCAGATTGATTTTGATAATTAACATGCCAGTGCTGTGAGTTTAAAAAGATGTAATTATGCTTTCTCAATTGTGACAGTGAGAACTGCCAAAAGCTTATTCAGACAATGCACGAAAAATGTTTTTTGACAAGTTTTAACCCTTAACCCATTTGTCACCGTACTGTAGTGTACTGAAAAAAGAAGTGGAGGCATTTAAGCTAGAAAGGGTTGATGTCTTTTTAGATGGCAAGTGTTTTAGTGTGTGTGCTAAAATATTTTCTTACTGAGAGAGTTGAAGGGAGCGATCTCGCTAATACACGTAGCTGTCTGAACTGGTTTCACTTGTACATCATGCTTTACTTCCTCCCATTTCGTTTTTGCTTCGGTTTCTTTTTTCCCCCACACTGATAGCATAATTAGATATCATAGTCAGCAATAACGTTTCAAAGGAAACTCTGTCTTGTATATGCTTTAAAATATGCTAAATGCTCACAGCAGCCCTTCAGCTTGTGAAAATGGTGCTATTGTTCTCTTTGGTATTTGTGGGGACTTAGTCAAGCCTAAAAAAAACATATAGTGATGTCATCTTCGCTTAGAGATGGAAGTTATTACAGTTGGGGCAAGAAGGTGTTGAGCTGCAGTAATGGGTGTAGGTGATATCATGCCACAGTATATAACAGTTGCTAAAACCACTGCATTTTTTTTTTCTTCTCCAAACCAAGTAGCTTATTTTCTTTGCATATTGAGACTCATCAAATTGTCATGGCCACTTTAAATCAGTATTATTGGCAGTAATCCTCACAGTTATCCCTTGTTCATTGCTATTTTCACATTGTCTGATACTTGGGTCCCAGGGTATGCATCCAGTTGATCTAATTTATAAAATCTGACAGCCTATTTGTATCTGTCATTTTGAACAGGAAGCCCCCTTATTCAGTGTCAAGGTTCGGACTGTTAAGTCGTAGTCTTTCTCTTTGTAATTCAGGAAGCCTGCATATCTTGTCTTCGTGTCTAAATTCAAAGTGATATGCTGAAGCGTTTTGCCTGGGAGTGGTTATAACAGCTCTCAGGCTTGGTTTGGTTCAGTTCAGCGAGAAATTAGGAAGTGTGCTGATACACATGTAGTCATTTCTGGCTTGAAAACTGATACATGAGCACAATTATTTTCCTGTTTTGCTTTAGTTACTAAAGGTGTGCATGATGGTACTTTGATCAACATGTAATACCACAGATTTCTATTTTTTAGGGCAGAAATTGGATGATGATATCCCTTGATAGTCTCAATGCTCAGTTTATTAATCAATGCTGTCTTAGAGCAGATAAATTCTTACATGCAGCAACACCTAAAATCCTCTCATAATTTTCTCTGAAAAGGCTTTTGGAAGAAATTGTTAAAATGATAGTTATGAGGGCTGTTATAAACAACCTTATTGTAGTGTTTTTTATAAGAGAAAGAGGCGTGTAAAATTACAAGAAGTGGAAATAGGTTTTTGTCTGTTGAAGAGTGTGAAGTGGACTTTAGATTCACACAAAAGATTATCTCTGCAAATTTACACTGTACCTGTAACTGGTGTTACTTGCTGTCACAGAGCACTGCGGTCCTGGAGACACCTGCTGTTGCAAGAGCTGCCATAAAGATGGTGGTTTAACAGATGTTTAGCTCTTTCTGTTGCTAGATTGCATCAGTGTAATGGTAGAGGGCATGCAGTCAAGAAACTGAGATTAAAGTTTGAAGATTGATGAGGTTTAGTCTGTCAGTATATATTATAGCTGAAATGCACTCCTTTTCTTTATTGCCCCCGTAAGCCCCATGGCTAAAAGTAGGCCTTCGGTCAACAAGCTCTATCTACAGGAAGTAAAACTCACAAGGTTTCCTGAGATTAATCTAATTTGGAGAAAAAGGCAGGACCTTTATGTCCAGATCACTCTGGTTCTCTCACCCGCTCATCTTTCCACGGCGTGCGACAGCTGGCTGTCAGCTCTGGCTGCTTGTTGCTCTCCCTATGGCTCCTGAGGCACACAAACTTGCTGCCACCTGGGGCTCCCTTGCACCCGTAGACATCCCAAAGTGGAAGCAGGCCGGCAGGGATGAATGGCTTCTCTTGTGAGAAAGGCTTGACATTTAAAAAAAAAAAAAAACCATCCCCTATTTAGGGCCTGACTCTTTATTTATCATTTATAATTATTTTTACTTTTGTGTTTTTATTTAAACTTGAAGGAATCATTGGTTAAAAAAAAAAAAAAAAAAAAAGGACATAAAAAAAAAATCAATCAGTGTATGGTGTTTAACATGACTATTCATGAAGTTTAATTGTTTCGGTCAGTATTGTAATCTCAACTATCTTGATTACTCCTCTTGTTTCATTTGCAAACTACCTGTCACCGTCAACTAAACTCTAAAGTGAACTTACCATAGTAGGTTATATTAACTATTATACATACAATATTTTTATATTATATTAACAGGTAAAATACCATTTAAGGTCTCGATTACTTTTCTCATCCTTGAGAATGCTTAAAACTGCTAATTAATTTGACAAGGTGGTTACCTGCTCAACTAGTCGGGAATGTCAACCACCAACTAATCATCATGATGAAGCACGTTAAATGTGGACGGGGCTTAACTTAAGCAGAGGTGATGGAAATCCCATAATCCAGTTATCCTAATTGGACTCAGATGTGCTTCATATTATATTAACGTAAATAGGTTGATGGTTAACCTTTTAGCAACATAAAGAATCTTATATACATTTTACTCACAGTAAAACAGTTCACCAGGTTTGATTCACCTCCTTAGCAAATTAATCTACAAAAGGTTGTACAGGGAACAATCACAAGTCCTCTTTTTTTTTGATTGTGTGCATAAAAACTTTTCTCAGGCTTAGTTTGTTGAGTCAATGATGCTTAGTTGTGGTTCCCATCTCATTTAATTGTGACAGACCCAGGGTAAATGTTTACCTTGACCTCTTACTGATGACTGAAAATGACAGTACTCAGATGGGTCAGCTTGCACAAGCATCCAAATTAAATGGTTAATGATTAGCTGCTTGACACACTGGGGCTAAAATGATGCAAGAGGCCAAGGCCAACCTATTTTCTGTTTGTGAATCAAATGGAGAGATGACACCTTGATCTGCTTCTGTCACTTGTATTTATTGCTATAATACGAAGGGAAAATTTGGTGTAAAGTTGAGTGGGGTATTAGCTGTCAGCGTGTTTTAATTAGAGGCACAGAGAATTAAAGGAGATGGTGAGAGACAGCCACGGAGCAGCAACAGTCAGCTTTGCTGGATAAACCCAGTCACTATTTTTTTAATGTGTTGTCTTGCTGGTGAGTCATTCTTCTCACCTCTTTTAGAAAAGTATGTGTTAGGTTGTAATTATCAATTAACCATTTAACTAGTAATACAGGATTATTTTCTTTACACAAGTTTTTATTGACCTGCTTGGTGAGTAGGAATGAGAAAAAAACGGCAAGACCCTCTTTTAATTAACTCACATCTGAAATCAATGGAAACAATTTGGAATTTTATGAAGCAGTTCACTGAAGTCATCATTTTTTATTGTAGTTATTTATTTAAGTAATTTATTCAGGAGTAAAGTTTAGCCCAACCATTATCCTACTATATTCACTGATTATAATGAATTGGCAAGGATAAAACACAAATCAACTGTAAATGTATTTAATTGAAGCCTTTTTTTAGAAATGTTTTTAGAGACCAATTATATCATCAGTTAGCAAACTGACACACACAAAACGAATATCAAGGTTTACATTTTAACAGGAAAAAGCATTTACTTTGGGATTTGGTGTTAATGTTAACTCCGTTTTCTGATATTTTATATGCTACTTTATTGGCATTAGATGTATTCTAGATTATTGGTGAAATCTAGAATTGGTGGGACTACCATAACGTAATGGAAAATGAAATCAACACAATGTATCACTTTTATGTCATGATACATATCTGTTATTTAAAAAGTCTTCATTTAAATAAGGTGTTTATTCCCTGATCAGAGTACATTTCCTAGAAGCAAAATTTAAGGTCAGGTCTTTGTACCTGCATGATGGATGTGAGTAAAACACTCACAACATCACTTGCAATAAATCCAAAGTATTTCCAAACTCTTCCAGAGAAGAGTCTACAGAGATTAAATTCTTAATTTAACAGACATTTGGTTATGAAATGACCACAAATGACACGTCCATTGATTGTTCTTTCACCCAGGGCCCAACAAGGGCCTGGAGTTTGCACTGCTCTCCAGGTATTCAGGTTCCTTTCGTGGTCCAAACACATGTATGGAGTTAGGTTAATTGGTAGGTGTGAATGTAAGTGTAAAAAGTTGTCTTTCTGTCTGTGTTCGCCCTGCAACAGACTGCTACTTGCCCAGTGTGTACTCTGCCCCTCACCTTATGAGAGCTGGCTTAGGCTTCAGCTGCCTTACACCCCCGAATTGGATAAGCAAAACAAAATAGGGAGGGGGTAAAATCTAAATGGAGAATTCCAGGAACACATGAGTGTATAGAACATTATTGTTGAAACAGTAGTTAGTCTCGGTGTTCACACACAAAAAAGTGTTGGCCTGACAATGACGTTCTAAACACAAAAAGTGTTGCTGGAGTTTTGACCTCTCCAATATTAATAAAAAAGAAAACCCCATCAGAATCAGCAGTTTGAACTGTCTGTGCCTACAGCATGAGATGGATTGTCTAGCTATCAGAAGAACAATGTATCTTATTGTCTGTGCTCTTGTCACTGTACTCAGTTTCCAAGGCGGTGTCGTGGTTTTTATTATGCCTCTGGTCTGCTTGTCTGTTTTTCTGTCGTTTCCTCTTTCTCTCCATGCACTGGCCCTGCTGATCCTTTCCCCTGTTAATACGCTGATACTGCCAGCACAGCTTCCGTTTAGCCATCAGAATCTCCACTCTTTAATAGTCTCGGTCTTTTACACCCTCACCCCCGACCACCCCCACCCACCCCCATCTGCCTGTCAGTAGCAGTTTCACACAGTCACTCCTCCCCAGCCCTCAGTCCTGCTCCATCTCTTTCCCGTAAACACACACACACTCTCTCTCCATCCAGTCTGCACCCTCACCCACACACAGCTAGCATGAATAGAACTGAAAAACTGTCATGCATCATCAAATGTGCGAAGGCCCTTTTGAATATTTGACTCTGCCTTGAATGTTGAGGCATTTGAATGGGTTGCTGCAGAAAGCTCCTTCTCTGTACACATGGATGACTGGGTCTTAGGCCAGCCAGACGTGTAATGTATCAGAGAGATGACTCCATAACGTGACAGTAGTGTGTGAGTATAGGCACCTGTGAGTCCATAGCTGATTCAACCCCTAGTCAGTTGGTCATTGTGTTGAAAACAGCAGTTTTGGGGGATTAGATTTGACCATAGTTTTCACATTCCCTGGCGTGTCTGAAAGAGGTGAAAATGTTTGACATACCCACAGAATGTGTGTCATTGTTTGCAGGCATTGTGTCCTCCACAGTGTCCTGTCAGAAATGCTGAATCCTTTTGGAAATTATGCTTTTGGAGGCCTGCTGATGAGAGCACAGCTCGCTGACTCTTACTTCAGTGAGACACGCTCCCCCCCTGTGAACTGCAGCAACTCACCCATCTGTGCTCCAATTTTGTGACACATAATTAAGGCCTTCTCTTTCTTTTCTTTTTTTCTGATGTGAATAAATATTTCTTGTTTTGTGTGAAATTCCCTGATGGGTTTAAAACTAACATTTTATGAATTAACTGCAGTTTTTTCTTTTTGTATCTGTCTTTGCCTACCTAGGTCTAAGCGGACAGCCTGCAGATATTGAGAAGCGGAAAACAGTGTTTGGGGAAAATCTTATACCTCCCAAAAAGCCTAAAACGTTCTTACAGTTAGTGTGGGAGGCACTACAGGATGTCACGCTGATTATCCTTGAAGTGGCAGCCATAGTTTCACTAGGCCTTTCTTTTTATAAACCTCCAGATGCAGAGAGGGAAAGTAAGAAACCATTCGTTACATTTGTTTTATCTTCTTTTTCTAGATATTACTTATGTTTGAAGTCTTAATTATGTCTCTTGTTAAATATATTTAGTGATACTTGCAGTGACATGTAATGATGTGATGGCATTTATTTTTCTCAGAGCCATGCTTTGTATGTTAATGTTTTTTTTCCCCATCCTCCTTCAGACTGTGGAAAAGCTGCTGGTGGTGGTGGGGATGAAAATGAGGCAGAGGCCGGGTGGATCGAGGGTGCCGCCATTCTTCTGTCAGTTATCTGTGTGGTGCTGGTAACAGCATTCAATGACTGGAGTAAAGAAAAGCAATTTAGAGGCCTCCAGAGCCGCATTGAGCAGGAACAGAAATTTACTGTCGTCCGTGGAGGACAAGTTATTCAAATTCCTGTGGCAGAGATTGTGGTTGGGGACATTGCACAAGTAAAATATGGTAAGAGCTCAGTTAAACATAAGCCTTTATTTGATGGTTAAAAAAAGTCAATCTGTTAAGAATGTCGAGATATCGTGGAACCTATGTTTTATTAAGATGTTTATTATATGGGCCATTAAGAAAACAGTACTGCACATTAGGTCATCCTTGGTTCAAGGTTTTAGTTTTAGTGCATCACAGATTAAGACGAATATTTCTTTTCAAGTTTAACTTTCCTGGTCGTGGGAGGAACGCAACAGCCAGCTCACTAATGATTTAAATCCATAAACCAGTAAAAAGAACATTACTGACATAACCACTAACCTCTGAAGAGACGAGCACTAAAGTGTTTCACATGACTCACTTAGTCATAGAATCTTTGAGAGCCTGTGATTAAGGCATAAATTTAAACTGTTACTAAGATGTTGTTTCTCCAAATTAAAGGCTTGTTTGGCTTTGTAATGTTTCAGGTGACCTCTTGCCTGCTGACGGAGTCTTCATCCAAGGCAATGATCTGAAGATCGATGAAAGCTCACTCACAGGGGAGTCTGACCACGTCAAGAAAACAATAGAAAAAGATCCAATGCTGTTATCAGGTAACATGAACCTAAAACCTTCTCCTTTTACTGGTTCGTACTGGGAAGGACTGGATTTTCAGAGGTTTTATAGATTATGTTGTCCAATATATTGAACTGCTTTTAAAAGAAAATTTCTGGAATACTCATTGCACTGAATAAATGATCCAAACTTTTATTGAAATCAGTAAGAACAGGTGATCATCTGGATCTTCATAAATAAACTGTTATAATCCACAAATTGAAAATAATTGACCATCAGATATTTGTTAGTATTCAGCTCAGCATGAATCTTGTGTTCTGTTGAAAACATGTTTGAAACTGAATTGGCTCCTGATCTTGCCTCTCAGTGCAGGAAGTTATCAGCCATTTAACATTTCCAGCATTTTTTTTTTCTCTGTCCATCCTATGTCCCCAACGCCCTTTTTAAATACAGTTCATGGCTTTGTCACGAAAAACGTGTGTAGGGAGAAACACTTTTGTTTAGTTCATCTGGCTCTCTCCTGGCACACCTCCAAGGCACAGGAGTCATGTGTGTTTGTGTGTTTGTGTTTTTATGCGCTGCCTCGCTACTGCTCTTTGATTTCCCTTAGCACGGCCTGTATCCCTTCTCACGAATGAAAGAAAAGCATCTTCTAATTAACACAGGAACCTTTAAATGCTTTCCACTCCTCGGTTGTCAGAGCCTCGTGGGTCTCGCTCCTTTACTCCGGCTTTAGCTTGTCGTGTTTTTTTTTTTATATTTGATGTTTCTGTGAGGTTTTTTTTATTTTTTATTTAAATCGTGTCTTGAGAGGAATGAAGAGCCAGAGATGCAACACTGTTACAGCCTCTCAGAATTCCATTATTTCACACAGACTAACAATTGGCTTTTGATTAAAGGCTGTTGATTAAAGGTTTGCAGTGTATCTGCAGTAGTGACTTATTCTTTCTGTACTTTCAAGTGCACTATTCATTTGTATTTATTGCCTGCAATTGAAAACCTGCATTTAGTTTCTCGTGTGTATATCATCATACTGCTTGAAAGCCTGGCTAAGCCACCTTCTCAACAAAGGAATCTAGCACAAAATTTTCACTGAACCAAAATGAAACATTCAAAGGAACAAATAAGGATCGGCAGGGACGGAGCTGCCACCAGTGTCTAAACAGAAACCTGAAAGAAGTTATAGGGAAACAGTGAAACAAAGAGCAGGGCATTTATCCTAGGTACTGTTTCCTGATTCCTTTACTGACACTTTGTTTTCCTTCTTCTGTTCAAAGGCACCCATGTAATGGAAGGCTCAGGGAAAATGTTGGTCACTGCTGTGGGTGTCAACTCTCAAACTGGAATTATCTTCACTTTACTCGGAGGCGGGGAAGAGGATGATGATGAGGAAGAGGAAAAGAAAAAGGAGAAGGAAGAGAAGAAGAAACAGAAAAAAAGTTAGTATGCTCCTCTGCTTGTTGCCCTTATAAACTCAGCACAAACACATACATACACAGACACACAAAGAGCATTGTCTTTACCATTAGTTTTATAATCTGCAGAAAAATGTAGTTATAGCAGGGTTTGTATGAATGCAAAAAGCACTGATTTGACCTTTGTTTATATAAAACAACTTTTAGAAGTTGTCAGAGGGTCACAGTAGATGACTTATTTTCTGCCAACCAAATCGGCTATTTGTAGCTCATTTTATGTATGATGGTAGAGTTCTCCTCATTTAAATCAGTAATTTGAAGAATGATTGGTCTAATTACTGTATAAAGAGACATTTATCAGTATTTTCTTATACGATTAATTAGTTTATTTAATCCTTAAAAAAACAGTCTGGATTTTCACTGTGCCTATTATGTCCCTAACTCTGTGTTGCATTCTTCCACAGATAAGAAGCAGGATGGTTCTGTAGAAAATCGAAAGAAAGGTGAGTAACTTGCCCACACACAGACTGACGTGCTTAACCACATGTAATTGCCTTACAGCTTAGTGCCTACATTTAGGTATTAGCCTTTAGCTTCATCAGTGGGTCCCTCCCCATTTAACAGTCCCGAGGGTAGGTTACAGCCCCAGTCTGTTAATAATTGGCCACCATAATTTCATGCAAGTAATGAGGAATTACATATTTTTGCATGGCCCTATGTCACCATATACTTAGTACGGGCTGTTCTTGGCTCTCCATTGTACTGTCTGGTCCTCCTGTCTGTCTCTCTCTCTTCTTTTCTCGTCCTTCCCTGGCACATTGCGCTTCGAGCAGCAGGTGCTACTGAATCCAGTTATAGCGATTAGTGATGAGGAGATTAAAGCCATGCAACAATTCTGGGGCCAGAACATCTGCTTTCCCACCCATCTCTCTCTGACTCTCCCTCAGGCCCCCCTCAATTTGATTTCTATTGATGTCCCAGACTGAACTATTCAGAGTCAAACTCTGAGACTTGCACTGGTGCAATTTCAGACCGATAACAATGATAATGAGACTCTTTAGTGGTAACTCAGCCAGCGAGCCAGCCTTGTTCTGCTGGGACACTATGATCAGTAGTGCTTGGGTCTGTGACCACAACCCTGGCGCTGGTCCCTTGTGCACAGATTCCCTCTGCCTGCCAGGAATCAGCAGTAATCCTTTAGACTGAGATTACACCGACCATGTAAGTGCAGAGCAAGCCACAGTCCACAGCAGCTGCAGTAGCCCAGTGCTCTTGCTTCCTGCTGCATGCATTCGCACACAATACCGTGCTATTGTCCATACTATTGTACCATAAATAGAGCCTTTAGTATCCCCAAATTGGACAAGGGCTCCCCATGCTTTAAAAGAATTGTGTACTTTGTTTAAGACTTCAAAATGTTAAGAGAATATTTCAGTTGTCCTGCAGGAACTGCCATAGCGTCAGTGCCCAGGAAAGCTAATGATTTTATCATGGTGCGTGACATGACAGAGACCAGCCCCTGCTGGCCTGCCAGCTGCCTCTTCTCCTCCTTTTGGCATTAGAGGCTTTGTGTGTCCAAGGTTACCTAGTTAGATGTGGGTTTGGTATTCCCATTAGTTCTGCAGGAACAGAAAGTGGTCCTGAGGGAGATTGGGAAGAGAGGTTTATGGGAATTTACCTGCAGAAGGAGGAAGAGTAGGAGATGCCTCAAATAGATCTGTCACTAGCTAGGTAACCTGTTCTTTAAACCTCTTGGCGGTAGTATGGTAATTAATTCAAAATCTTTCAACTAACTTCTGTGCCGTCAGCTCACAAACATAATTACAGTGACATTTCCACAGTTCCTGGGATAACAGGGAAGCAACAAAGCATGCTATAATTTTGAGTGATTTTATTTAATCAGATAACTTGTGATACAGTGCTCTACATATTCTAAATATTCTCATCATACAGCAATTTTTGTGATCCCGTTTCAATCAACTTGCTCTGACTTGTTACCTGTAAAGTCAGATAAACAGATATTTTATGAGGGGCGGAGGAAATCTAGTCCAGGCCTGTTGTTGAGCTAGATTATATGCTATAGACCCGAAATATAAAAACTGTTCTCGAGTTTTCTAATATTACCAGAGAGATGAATACGTTTATTTGACCTGTATCAACCTTATTCACCCACAGCTGTAGAATGCAGTTTTTATTTCTGGTCTTGCAAATTGGAAGCAAATATTCAAATGTAGGCTTGACATGGCACCTGATCGTGAATGAATACTCTGTGTTCATAACTGACAAATCATAACTGACAAATCAGCATACTTTCATTTCAGTCGTTGCTTTTTCCATAAATCCTAGAGTCTTTCTTAAATGAATTTAACACAGTATTCCTTTATATAATTGTTTAAAACACTCGGCACCAGTAATGGCCAGTGCAGAATAGCCAGGCCATTTTTAACAACCTTGTCTTGTTTTCTCTGCTGCAGCTAAAGCCCAGGATGGTGCTGCAATGGAAATGCAGCCTCTGAACAGTGACGAAGGAGCAGATGCAGAGGAGAAGAAGAAAGCCAACCTGCCAAAGAAAGAGAAGTCTGTTCTCCAGGGAAAACTGACCAAACTAGCAGTACAGATTGGAAAAGCAGGTGAGTCAGTCAAAATCACTCGTTTCTGGCACAGCTGAGTGCTGTAGATTGTAAAACATTTTATGTGCTTGTACTCTCATGCCCTTGTGTTCACTCCAACTTTTTTTTGGTTGTATGTCTCCAACTGTTTATATTGTATAATCACAATTACACCCACTATAAGCAATATACCGCTAAATGTGTCCTGATAGTAATATAACTTAAAATCTTTCTTTTCTCTCATGTTTTGCCTCTAGGTCTGGTTATGTCAGCCATCACTGTTATTATCCTGGTGGTGCTGTTTGTAGTGGATACCTTCTGGATCCAGAATCTATCCTGGGTTAAGCAGTGCACACCTGTTTACATTCAATTTTTTGTGAAGTTCTTCATCATTGGTGTCACTGTTCTTGTGGTCGCTGTTCCCGAAGGCCTGCCACTTGCTGTAACAATCTCCTTAGCGTATTCTGTTAAGGTGAGACTCCTAGCCAAGTGACCTGTGCACGAACTAACCACCTTACACTTTAGCCTATTAAAACTAGAAGATCAAGCTGCTAAGATCTGGTTAACAACTTGAGGAAAGGGGATCATTACTTGGCTTTAGGGTATTATTTAGCCAACATAGGGCTTTAGTTAATCAAGGAGTTAGTCATTCAGTTGTAAAATCTCACCACATTTATTTCATGAAACAAAAATAAAATGTTTTCATTATAGAAAATATAGCTTTCAGTGTTGTCAGACTTTCTTTTTTTTTTTTTTTATCTTCCCACAGAAAATGATGAAGGATAACAATCTGGTGCGTCACTTGGATGCCTGTGAGACTATGGGAAATGCTACTGCCATCTGTTCTGACAAGACTGGTACACTCACCATGAACCGCATGACTGTGGTGCAGGCCTACATCGCTGAAAAGCACTACAAGAAGGTCCCTGAACCAGAGAACGTCCCCTCCTCCACTTTAGACATCCTGATTCTGGGCATTGCAGTCAACTGCGCCTACACTACTAAAATCATGGTATGCTTGTAAAAAGCAGCGTACCTCTAAAATTGACTGTGTAGCACATTAACTTTGTCTTCACATTTTTCTTTTTTCTTTTTTTTTCTTTTAGCCTCCAGAGAAAGAAGGGGGTCTGCCACGACAGGTGGGTAACAAGACCGAATGTGCCTTGCTCGGCTTTTCTACTGAGTTAAAACGCGACTACCAGGCTATCCGCAACGAGATTCCTGAAGAGAAACTCTACAAGGTCTACACTTTCAACTCAGTTCGCAAGTCTATGAGCACTGTGTTAAAGATGGCTGACGGCAGCTACCGTATGTTCAGCAAAGGAGCCTCAGAAATTCTCCTAAAAAAGTAAGAGACATTTTCATTTTTTATGTTCGTTCACATGTTCTGCTTTTGTATGATTTGTTTTGTTGTTTTTTTGGCTGGGGAATTGTATGGTTTAATATTATCCTCTTAGATAATAATTCCTCTATGATTTCTTTACTGAAGAAGCATGAAATCATGGATGTCTGATCAGCTAAATGAAAGGTTGTTCCATAGCTCTTTTTTTTGTACTCATTCGGCTGGCCAGACTTTGCTGTAAATGATATGTGTAATGGCTTAAGCAGCTAAGAAGTTCAAGTGCATCCCACCCAAGCCCCTTACGTTGTGACTTAAAAACAGGCACTGAGAAAATGAGCCGGTAACAGCTCTGTAAGCCTCTTAACCAAGCAGGCTTCTTTTTAACCCACAGAGGGCTTAGTGTGACTTCTTACTGCTGCAGCTCACCATTCAAATGCTTTGTCTTCTCCTCTTCTCTTACCCTTTTATCAAATCTAAATGACGTTTTTTACATTTATGCGTCTGTACCTATCTTCGTCTTTATTCATGTTTCTTAACTCCAAGCCATTAATGGCTTTCGTCTTTGGATGTTTCGCCCTCCTACATGTTCTTTTTCTTTGTTTTCCTTTACATTTATGATTTAATGTGTTGTCTTTACACATTTCAGGTGCTATAAAATCTTGACAGCTAATGGTGAGCCAAAGGTGTTCCGCCCACGGGACAGAGATGACATGGTTAAGAAAGTGATCGAGCCCATGGCCTCGGAGGGCTTGAGAACAATCTGCCTTGGATACAGAGATTTTCCTGCTTCTGATGGGGAGCCTGACTGGGACAATGAAAATGATATCCTCACTGGACTAACCTGCGTCTGTGTGGTTGGCATTGAAGATCCTGTTAGACCAGAGGTTAGTGGCTACACTAATGTTAGTGAGTTCATCCACAAACAGTTTCACTTGTTTGATTGCTAGTAAGAAAGCTGTCTACAAAGGTAGAGTATTTATCTGCACTTCATTTGAAGGTCTGTCTTTTGGCTTTGAGTCAGAACCCATTGTTTGATGTGGCACATTGAACAACTTCACTAGTTGCAAGGTTGCGCTCAAAAAGAAGTATTTAGAATGATTGTTGTCCAAACATGTATGAAGGAGAAACGGCCACACTGCTGGTACTGGCAGATTGCTGGAATTGGTGACACTATGATGTGTCTATCATTAAGAAACCATAATTAGATCAAACATTAGAATATGTCAATTCTAGTTGGCTGACAGTTTTATGGAAACTGCTGTTTGCAGAGTTTGCACTCAATTTGTGGACCAACTATTTTAACTAAACTCAGCCACATCAATGACTCCATTTCAGGTGGTTTGAAAGCAACACAAAATAAATGATGGGTGAATGTAAACAGTAAAAACAATAGACCTAATTTAGCGGTCTATACTAGCTGAGGTCAATCTAGTTTCCAAAAATAAAGTGATTAAAGCTGTTGGTTTAAGTTTTTTGAGCATTTAACAAGCACATGTAGAAGAGCTTTATTTGTCAGTTGTCAGCTTTATTCATCTACTGGACTGTTGGGCACACTCACTTTTTAAGCAAAGCAAAAAAAAATATTTCTATATAGGGAGCGCTTACTCCAGGAGGACCCATTTGTTATATCAATTTTATAATTTCCGTATCTGTATGTACACAAGGGTTTTCTACGATCTGAGTGACATAAATGTTTGTCATCAGGGTGTACCTGAGACTCTGTGCAGATGTCAGAGTACTTTCTAGTTTGCATGCAAACGTATCCAGGCAACTTCTGCACCTCAAAGGCGCCATCTGTACATTGCATCCTACAAGTAGACAAGAAAGCACAACTATGCTTCTGTGGTGTTTGCAGCTGTTTGTGGGTGTTGGTGAGGGAGTATAATCCTTGCCTGAAAAAGTTAGGTCATTTGCTTGCTAGATGCTTCACTGTTGCTCATTTAGTTGGCTTTCTGCCATTTTATGTACTGGACAGGTGTGCTGGAATGAGGTTTGGAAATAATGAGCCCCTTCGTAAAAAAAATGAACCAGTGTTTGTTTGTTTTGTTTTTTTAGTGCTTAAAATCCCAGATATATATATATAAAATTTAGTTGAACACTTAGATTGATAATCCCTAATGATATTTCTTTTTCCTGTGCTTTTTGTGCTTCCCTTCAGGTTCCAGATGCTATCAGGAAATGCCAGCGTGCTGGCATCACCGTGCGGATGGTGACTGGGGACAATATCAACACAGCTCGAGCCATCGCCACCAAGTGTGGCATCCTACAGCCTGGAGATGACTTCCTCTGCCTGGAGGGAAAAGAGTTCAATCGCAGGATACGCAATGAAAAGGGAGAGGTGGGCCACAGCAAAATAGTGTACCTCAGAGACTGTTGCAGATGTGCTGTTTGGATTCTATTAGGGTTTTGTCTCATGTTTCTAGATTGAACAAGAACGCATTGACAAGATCTGGCCCAAACTTCGAGTATTGGCTCGCTCTTCCCCCACAGACAAACACACCTTAGTCAAAGGTAGTTATGTTTCTCTGGTATGGGTAAAAATGGAAAAAGTGAACTAATGTGTTTGTTTGTTTTCTTCTTTTGCTGCTGGCCTTTTCTTTTCTTTTCTTTTTTAGGCTGTAACGGTTTTATTTTAAATTTTGACATTTTTCTGTTCTAGGTATTATTGATAGCACAGTGGCAGAACAGAGACAAGTAGTAGCAGTGACAGGAGATGGTACGAATGATGGTCCTGCCTTGAAAAAAGCAGATGTTGGTTTCGCCATGGTAAGTTACTTGTGTATAATTTCTTAAATAAGGTTTAATCATAAATATAAATTGGGTCATTCTTAACATCAACATCTTGCTCAGTATCCCATGGTAACTCTGGCAGTCAACTAGAAAGAAGTCAGAATTTAGGCCACTTAATCATCTTGTTAAATATCTGGTGGATAGATGGAACAGATTCTTAATGATCATCTTGTTGTCTCCAGGGCATTGCTGGAACAGATGTTGCTAAGGAGGCATCTGACATCATTCTGACTGATGACAACTTTTCCAGCATCGTTAAAGCTGTCATGTGGGGTCGAAACGTCTATGACAGCATCTCCAAGTTCCTTCAGTTTCAGCTAACGGTCAATGTGGTGGCTGTCATTGTAGCATTTACAGGAGCGTGCATCACACAGGTTAGCACCTAGATATTGTAGGGTTATTTTGTTTTTGATTTTTTTTTCTTTATTGTGTGTCTGAAGAGTTATTTCACTGTTATGCTCTGAATAGAAATTAACTTGGTACCACGGGCAACACATTGAAAGAGCTGAAGCAGAGGGAATGAAGATCCAGCAATAAACTCAGGAGAAATAAAGGCTTTTATGTATAACGTTTGGAAATTTGGAAATTTGGAAATTTGTCCTTGTGGAAATGTATCCAAGAGCAGCTTACCTGGCTCTCATGTCTTTGTTCATTACAAAAAAGATTTGTTTGTTTCCTACCTGCCATCAATCTTACACCTCATAACAAAATATGTACTCCTCAGTGCAGTCACTGCTCCAGCTCATAAACGTGTAATTTGGTTCGTGGGGATCGAAATGTGTTTAATAGATCTTAATTTCCATAACCTAATTTGGCGACTCGCTCTCTTGCACTAGGACTCTCCACTGAAAGCTGTACAGATGTTGTGGGTCAACTTGATCATGGACACTTTTGCTTCACTAGCTCTGGCCACAGAGCCCCCTACAGAAGCCCTGCTGCTAAGGAAGCCATACGGCCGCAACAAACCTCTAATCTCCCGCACCATGATGAAGAACATCCTGGGTCATGGAGTTTATCAGCTAGTTATCATTTTTACATTGCTCTTTGCTGGTAAGGGTTTTGTGTCTGAAGATGTTCTCTGTACCCTGGACTGTTATCCAAGATTTTCTTTTTCTTGACTGGGATATATTTTTCCCCCCTCTGTAGGAGAGAAATTGTTGGACATTGACAGTGGCAGGAATGCACCCCTCCATGCCCCACCCTCAGAACACTACACCATTGTCTTCAATACCTTTGTAATGATGCAGCTTTTCAATGAGATCAATGCCCGTAAGATCCACGGTGAAAGGAATGTCTTTGAAGGCATCTTCAACAACCCAATCTTCTGTAGTATTGTCTTGGGTACCTTTATTATTCAGGTACAGTAGACTAAGACTTATCTGAAGCATCAGTCTGCACAGGTGAAATCTGAGGTTTTATGCTTTGATTAAGTCTCCCTCTCTTGCTCCTTTTTTATTTAATTTTTTTCATAGATTGTTATTGTGCAGTTTGGAGGGAAGCCATTCAGCTGCGTGGCTCTGACGGTTGACCAGTGGCTGTGGTGTACTTTCTTAGGCTTCGGCTCTCTTCTGTGGGGACAGGTATGAAAGTACAGCTGAGCTTTACCTTTTGTTGGCAAGGTACAGAAATGCAGTATTACACTGCCCCCATGTGTCAGCTCTAATCTAGTGGGTACAGGGTGTTGTCAGAGACCTGTAAGAGTACATTATGTCCCGCTGCTGTGAAGAGATTAGTAATTAGTAGTTGATTGATTTTTTTTTTTTTTTTTTTTTTTTTGGGGGGGGGGGGGCTCCCCAAAACCATGTGGTCATCAAAGTTATTCAATTTTGTTATTTTAATTTGACCTTTAAGGGGATTATTAAAGATATTTCTTTTGTAGTTGTTTCAATTTACAAATTTTCTACATTATTTAAATGTAGTAGAATATTAGTAGTTCAATGGTACATGTTTTAAAATTTAAATATTATACTTTTTGAGTTCTTTGCCTTTTATACTTGAGTTGAAAAATATAGTTGTTGGGGGTTTTTTTTGTTTTTTTTCTTCTAAGGATTGAAGGATGAGATCGCTCACTGCAGTTTATAGTAATGACTGAAGGTTCATAATGAATGTTTAATGTTGTTCTGTTTCACATCTATCCTGATCAGCACTTATATTAATATCACTTTTGCCAGCTGGTGTCACCAGCTTTACATAAATGGGACTACACCAAGTCCTATAAAAGCACATAGCTGAGAGTTGAGGAACTGAATTGAACAAGTACCAAGATTTTTGGTTCCAAAGCAGCGATTGCTCTGTTCTTTTCCTTAAAGGCCAGTCGGTCCCCTAAATAGACGCTGACAACACGTGTTCACACACCTGTTGGTGCATAGAGTTCAGCAGTCTTCAATTCTAGGCTGCGTGACACAGTCGACTGGGATCTTTTGGCACATCGGTAGATTCTTAATGCACCCTCAGTATCTTAAAAGCTGAAGACTCAGAGAATTACATATTTTTGAAAATACACATTTAGGAGAAACCCTTAGTGTTACCAGGCTGTACAGTTACAGTTAATATGGGAAACATTACCGTAAGCTTGTTTTGGCTGCTGTCTTTTTAATAAGGAGTTGCCATACTGGATGGATCCATTTTTACACCAGATGGGTTTGTGTCTCCTCCCAGTGTTTTGTATATTAGCCAAACAGTGTGGAACCCTCATACTGGATTGTATTCCCACAGACCAGAGCAATGGTTAATGTCCAGAGCAATGTCGGGGGTTTTGTTTTTGTTTTGTTTTGGGTTTTTTTTGTTGTTGTTGTTGTTTGGTTTGGGGTTTTTTGTTGTTGTTGTTTTTTTTGGGGGGGGGATGTTGTCTGATAACTTCTAATTATGACATTGTGTGATTTAAAATCACCAGACTTGTGTCTGACTCATCTGCATTCCACTTAGTGATCTTTGTGGCTAGTACTTGAGGAGTAAAGTTTCTGTCTTCTTGTTAAATTGACTGAACAGCATCTGCATGTGATCACTTGCAAGGATCCTTCTGTTCATCAGCAGTGGGAGGGGCTTGGAGCCCAAGAGCAAACCGCATGTTATTGAACTGGCCATCAAATTTTCATGGTCACTGTCTGCTTAATGTCGGCGATGAACTTAATCGTGGCTTGTTCTGCCGTGATAAACTGCACGGGGGACTAAAACTTCATCAGGAGTCACGGTTGCTCACTTGTATCCTCATTTTCTTCCAGGTTATTTCTTCAATACCCACCAGCCGCTTAAAATTCTTGAAAACAGCAGGCCATGGCACCCAAAAAGAGGAGATCCCAGATGAAGAGTTGGAGGAGCTGGAGGACATGGATGAGATCGACCATGCTGAACGGGAGCTTCGTCGAGGCCAGATCCTGTGGTTCCGAGGCCTCAATCGCATCCAAACTCAGGTGACAAGTCTCCGCAGTTTCACGTGCAGCACTCACCACCACACCCCAACACCAAGGGAATCAAAAGCCATAAACCCTTTAACTCTCTACTGCTCTTCCAGCTTAAAATCTATTTTGTTCTTTCTCTTGGCATTCCTAAAGAATGGCTTGTGCCCTAAAAAAAAGCCTTTCTCTAATTTTTCTGTTCTGCTTCTGAGCTAAAGCAGGGTCCTATGCCTATGTTTTTGTTTTTTATTTGACTCAGTCTGACTCTATCTGCTAAAACTAGTTTGAAGGTACTGATGAGAAGCAAGTGAATTGGATTGGATGGGCAGCACGATAGAACAGCTGAATGTTCAAAGAGTATTGGCATGGCTATAGCTGGAAGTATGGAAGGAATCTGCAGAGAAAAGAGTGAAAGTGAGGTCAGATTTTTGGAGTAAGAGCTCCCTCCGATCAGTGCCTTTAAACCCAACCGTCCCCCTTTTTCCTCTCTTTTAATTATAATGTCTAAATCCAATTTCAAAGTGCCATTTTTTTCTTATGGTTACTGGTGCCTTTTCTTTATTTTTCTCTCTTTTCTCTCTCTCTCCTCCTCTGGCTGTGTTGTGTTTTTATTTCCTCTGGGCTTTTTCTCCTGTCATGCTGTCTGATTCTTTGCAGATGGATGTAGTGAGTGCGTTCCAGAGTGGAACTTCCTTTCAGGGGGCTCTAAGGCGGCAGGCCTCCAACTCCAGCCAACAACAGCACGATGTAACCAATGTTTCTAGCCCTACACATGTAGCCTTTTCTACTACTACCACTTCTGCCACTGCCGCCAACACCGCTTCTGCCACTGTGGGGTGTGAGTGCGTGTTCTCCTCTAGTGCATGAGACTTTTATTTCTTCTTCTAACATCTTCCTTCTCCACTCTTCTTCTCACCTAACGTTGACACTTTTACTCTCTCATGCTTCTCCTAATGTTCTCCCCTGTATTCTTTAAAAAAGACCTCAAAACCACATCTTCCATATTGCTTTGATAACACTGCTCTATATATATATGTACCTTGTAACCAGGTCGCTTCTACTGTCAAGGTGTTATCTCTGTGTCATCATGTTTTCTGTTCTGCTTCTGCTTTGGTCTCAGAAATGAACAAGGTTTACTGTTATTTCGGGGGGGTGATGTGTATTTACTATGATTTAAAAAAAACAAAACAAAAAACAAGTTATATTCTGGGTTGACAGTCTCCAGGTTTGTCTGCAGCTGCCTCAGTCTGCCTTGTGCCTCTGTAGCACTCATGGGTCTTTGTCGCAGCTCTCTAGTCCCTAGCTAGGTAAATGTTTTGAGTATATGCCCATGATCACGGTCTAAAAGAGTAGACACGAACTGAATGTCAGTGGTGAAAATAAGACCTTGGCTTTTCCAGAACAAGAAATGGTTTGCCGCAATAGCATCAAGTGGTAATAAGCTGTAATTTACTGGTGTCTTTGGATGCACTGCCTTTTAACATCACGCTATTCATCCGCTCACATAGGAAGGTCACTGTGCCGAGACTGGATTTGGTCATTTGATGGTGGTGTTTCCAGACTCCTTCCTTTCGACCCTGTGCCTGCTGACAGTGACACTTTGTTTTGTTTTTCTCTTTCAGAGTTTAAAGACAGACCACCTGACGAGCAGTGAATTTTAAATGTTTTACAGATGTCACAAAAAGAGTAAAATGGAATAAATGACTGTGCTCTTGAATGTAAACTTGTGGGATTTTTCTCAGGCACATCAACAGCAGAACCGATGTTGTTTTTGCCTCTGCAATATTGACAAATCATGCAGTGCTGCAGCAACATTTAGTTCTATTTTAGGTGCGACTTCTTCAGATCTCTGGACCTGACACTTATGGGTGTTTGTGGGCATGGATTCTTCATTATTAACCTAATATTTTCCTTTCAGGTTTCCTTAAAATATTTGGACAATTTTCTGTGTGTGAAAGCTTGTTTGTTGGCAAAATGTGTCCAAAGGGCAGGTTGCTGCCAAAATGACCTAAAAACAATGAATACCACTGACTCCCCACGTATTCTTCTTTAGATTCTGTGAAATGTGTCATGGGCTATACTCAAAGGTTTACTACCATTGAACACAAGGTAGCACCGCGCTCTGCATGGGTTCAAAGTCTCTGGTCTCGTTTGTGAGTTTTCTCTCTTTGTGCTGTTTTTGACATGTATACCAGCTTGTAGACATGCTTGGCTGCTGCAGCTTTCTTTCTTTTTGTTTTTGTTTTTTTAAACTCCACAAGCATAAGCTATAACTGACCACCCCTCTTTTTGTCTTTCTGTCTCTCTCCTCTTTCTGCCTCTCATTCGCAGCCTTTACTTTGTCTCACTCTCTCTTTCTGTCTCTCTTCCACTCCTTTCTTTTCTTACTCTCTTTGTCTCCATCTGTCCTTTTCTCCAGCTGTCCTTACTTTTTGATCAGCATGCCCAACAACAGTAATTTCTTGTGTCCAGCTTCTATCCCTTATTTTCTCTTTTGGTGTGTTCTTGTAGAAAGAACACCATTCCCCTCATTTCATTTATTTATTTATTTTGGTTCCCTTTTGCATTTTAATTAATCAGACACAGGCCTCTACCAAGTGTTTTGTGAAATACTAATACAAAAAAACACATTGCATCAAGTTTGACACTGGTTTGTACTCTCCCTGAGATATTGACCGATTTCCTGAGGTTGCTTTTTAATTACTCTTAAGACTAGTTTCAAGTTTTGTCTCCAACAGATTTAGGTTTTCTGTCTCTCAGAAAGTCTTTAATATTCAACCAGCATTCGATTTTCACACTTCGCACATTTGATCAGTCCAGCCCATCAGATTGCAATTGAAAGCCTTTTATGGAACAGTGATGGCTTGAAGCGTTATATTTTCATTCTCTCCTTCTGTACCAAATAGGGCATAAAGATTAAATCACTGTGCAATTGCGAAATAAAATGCAGTACTTCATATGGCAGCTTGGAGGCTGGTTCAAAAAGCAAGTGAATGCACATAGTTTATGAACAATCCCCAATTTTAGGGAAGAAATAAACATGTTAATAAGCTGGTACAAAGACCAGATCAGATTTGAACTGTTCTCCCTGTCACAGTAACTGTACGAGGCTGTTTACCATTGTAAGGCTGGTTTGAGTGGGCTTTATGCATTACCCAGACAATATCAAAGTTATTGGCTTGGCTGACACCAAAATCTGCGTTTGTGCAGTTAGCTCAAAGTCTTTCTGTGAGTGGAATTTATTAGCACCAATTAACAGGCATCTGATCTGTGCAATGCATCCACACAGTCTGTAGATGGTGCTGATGTAGCTGGGTTTGTTTAGCTTATACCGTGCCACTTCACCCACTCCTCCTTTCCTTACTTCTGACTTCACAAAACAAGATTTGATCCCAAACAAAGCTCCAAAATGCAGCTCCCATCAAGTGCATACAACTGTCCAAATTCATTAGCTTAATTCCATTGTACCTGTTACTATGGTACAGCTACTATGGTCAA